GCCTCCGGAGCTCGGAGAGCATAGAACGACAGCTATGAAATTGCTGGTGATTGCTCCTCTCGTTTCATCCCTTTATCCACGACCAGCAGCCCTCCCCCCCTCCCTTCATTGGTCCTTGGAAATATTACGAAACTGGTATTACGGAAATTCCTGGCGATACGGTAACATTATTAATAATTTCTGTCGAATGTCCATATCATCTGTTGATACGTCGAGCAATCTCACGAAGATCAATTCAATTTTTCTTAATTTCCTATCAGACCATGATTACTATATTCGTGTATATCCGAATGCCCTGAAAACTATTCGTCGAGGTTAAGACCCAGCCAGAATGTGGACGATCGTCTCCGACATAACAACCAGCGAGAGTATCGCCTTCGAAGAGCGAAAACGGGGCGGCTTGGTCTCCTCGGCGAGATTAACTTGTCGGAGATGACGCGTCTATCCAACGGTGTCTCGCTTCCTTCCCGGTAATTTACTCGAGTATACACAGGACTAATGGGTTATTTCAGGTAATTAGCCGGAGGCCCCTGTTTCTTCGTCGAGCTCGCAAAAACGTGCCCCTGTTCCCCGCGATTTCGCGGACACGCATACACACATCCCTCTATATTTGCGTTAGGTACTCGCGATGCTGGCCCGATTTCTTCGAGCCACGCCCCCCTTCTCGATCCTGTTCCATTCTCGTCGTGTTCCTCGATCGTCATTAATTGGAAGTCGAGGGATTGGTTATTAAAGTGTCTTCGGAATATTTTCCACGATGACAGCTCGCTGTACAGTCACCCGAAAGAACTTCTTGTATCTTCTTCACGATGCTGAAGTGTTCGTCGAAACGGATATATACAGTGGGGATGTTGAAACGAACTAATTGGTTCCAACACCTCGATCGTAGTAGCATTGAAATATTGTCTATGTAGTTTTATAAACAATAGCACAAGAAATCGACTCATGCTCTAATACTGTTCACGACTGTGATTAAGAGATCCCATTCTTTCTTTGTCATGGTGACGACGACCTAGAACAATCGGCAGGATGGAGGATCGTATTCACAATTTCAGATACTAATATCTACAAAATTAAGTGAGGGCAGAATTCTGGATTCTCTGCATAACAATACTAAATTTCAGTTGCAATCTTTATTCCATTACATTTCTCAAGTTAAAACATTTAAAAATCAATAGACATTCGTTCGCTATAGCCTTTGTTAGTTGTAACATCTGCAGCATTCCCCACTGTATTCGAAATCCCCAAAATACAATAAATCATCGATGAGTGTTCCAAATCTCCTCGCTACTGACTGTTCAGACGTCATCCCCACCATTGGAGGAATCCCTAATCTATTCGGTTTTCCTCGTTCCACATCGAACTAGCATCACCCGACAAAGATTGGCCGCGAGCGACAGCCAATTAATTACTCCCGACGCGACCTCTTACGATCCCCGAAACACAGTCGGAGTGTATCGTCGTCGGGCACAATGGCTGGGTCGTTTATATCGACAGAAACGATCGCGATCCCGCGATACACCGGGATAACTGTGTAATCGGCCGATTAAGCGCGACCGCGTGGGCCCCTTGGGCCCCGTGAATTTGGCAATTACTTGGCCCAGTGCTAATGACGAGCGACCCGACTCGCGCGAGCTGTAAAAAAGGTGTCGGATGCTGGAGGGGAGGCTTCTCACTGGTCGCTGCTTCGTGAACACCGGCTCTGCCGAGTCACGGCGTGTAACGAACTTGAGCTCGGAACTCTGTCGAGGCTCTTCTCCCTCTTTTTATCGAAGGCGATGCCAAATCCCTCTCCGAGGCTGGACCGTTCGCCCTGTCACAGGATGAGGCGTCATTAACGCCCGATACCCGACCCCGGCGCGACGTTCCTTCCGGAACGAGGTTACACCTTGATTCTTTAATGCCGTGTTATTCTGTTTTCTGACGAATCGAGAGGCCTGAAACTGTTTTATTGCTGGTGATCCTCGCGTTACAGGCTCTCTAACGAGCGCTTTCTGTACGCTTCAGACTCGATACCTGCGATCTTCTGGTATCTCTGACTGGTTAAGGATAATTCTACCATTATGGGTATCCGAAGAGAACTGTGAACGAACGTCTACGTTCAGGGAAAGTTCGTGTTCCTCGAAGTGAATTCTTCGAGCCGAAGGAAAGGAAGATTAAAGCTTGATCCTGTGCCAAGTCGGGGAAATTGTAGATTCGTACCACTGAAGCTTACCGTTGAATCGCCTTAATTCGTTCTCTCAACGTTTTTCTTTTTTTTTTTTTTTCGTTTTATTTATTCTACAGAAAATTCCAAATGGTTTCTGATCGAGGGAGCCTGGGGCAACGGACGATTTATCGACGAGCGATTAGAGACGAGTGGCGAAAACGGGTGGTAGCAAAATCCGTGGAAGACGACCGAGGGGGGAATGGAGGCGGAGAGCCCGAAGGTGGCTGGTTCGTTAATTACTGATTTTCCTCGGTCCGCGTCACTTTTTAATTGACGCCAGAAATTGAACCGGAGAGCGAGAACACGCTCGACTCGGCTGAACGGACGTTCCCGCCGAGTCATCCTTCGGTCTCGTCTCTTCTCCGTTCTTCTAAGCCCAAATCATCCTGCCAGGATCGGAGTAACACATCCTCCTGCTTCAAATTCAATCCAGAGAACCCTCATATTTCTAACACAAAAATAATTCCAAATCGAAGACGACAAATTCCTGATTCGAAATCCCAGTCGGCTCCATCTCTATATAAAATACATCATCTGGAGAATCAACTCTAAATCCTTATACTTCTAACAAAAATAATTCCAAATAGAAGACGACAAATTCCTGATTCGAAATCCCAGTCGGCTCCATCTCTATATAAAATACATCATCTGGAGAATCAACTCTAAATCCTTATACTTCTAACAAAAATAATTCCAAATAGAAGACGACAAATTCCTGATTCGAAATCCCAGTCGACTCCATCTCTATATAAAATACATCATCTGGAGAATCAACTCTAAATCCTTATATTTCTAACACAAAAATAATTCCAAATCGAAGATGACAAATTCCTGATTCGAAATCCCAGTCGACTCAATCTCTATATAAAGTACATCATCTGGAGAATCAACTCTAAATCCTTATATTTCTAACACAAAAATAATTCCAAATCGAAGAAGATAAATTCCTGGTTCGATATTCCAGTCGACTCCATCTCTATATAAAGTACATCATCTGGAGAATCAACTCTAAATCCTCATATTTCCAAGACAAAAATAATTCCAAATCGAAGAAGATAAATTCCTGGTTCAATATTCCAGTCGACTCCATCTCTATATAAAGTACATCATCTGTAGAATCAACTCTAAACCCTCATATTTCTACCATAAAAATAATTTTAAATCAAAGAAACGTAACATTCCTGGTTCGAAGCCCAAGTCGACGCCATCTCTATATAAAGTACATCATTCTCGCAGGATGTCCACGGAACCACGTAACAGATTCACCCAAGGTCGGTCTAGAATTACGTGGAAACGAGTCCGCGGAAACGTCTTCGCGTATTTTCCGCTCGGTGGACAGGTGTTTCCAGCCGCGTGTCAACGGGCCTGTCAGTTCCGGTGGTTAACGGAGACACTGCCAATGACACGGATCTTTGTCTCGTGGCTCCACCTCCTCCACCCTCGCCTTCGGAGGAGCGTAAAAAGCGTAGAAAAGGGGTGGACCTCTCTCTACCTGTTCACCGGTTCGTGTCTCTGCCGAATGGAACGGTCCGTTGGTTTCCCATCCTCGTCGTGTCTCCGTCAGCTAGTTCTCTCCGACCGTGGTGGGCCAACGGGGGCCTGTCACCGGCAGTCGGCTTCTCACCCTCGTATGGCGGGGGGGGGGTTGGGTTGGGGGGGGGGGGGGAAGGGAGGATTCAGGATATTACGGGTCTCGATCGGTCGCCATTGTGCCAATCGGATCGTCTGATAAGCTTCGGAGGGGTTTAATAAAAATTCATTTGTCACGGGCCTTTGGAGATGATGCTCTCTCCCCGTGTCTCTTCGTTTCCATCTTGTTCTATCTTCGCGTCTGAGAACGATTTATTTCAATGCAATTCGTTGTTTCCGATCTTCAGGAAGGAACAGAGCTCAGTATATATATTTTAGAGAGATTTGGGATATTGTAGAAATATCGAGGTACAATTTTCAGAATTAGGTCGTTCCTTGTACGATGAATAGACAGATGTAACTTTCCGTTCATCGGTATCCAAGTTTTCTTCCAATTCCAAATTTCCAATAATTCCATCGGAAGATATTACCGGTTTAGTGGGTTCTGAGGCGAAATGAACGACGGTATCGAGCGCTGCTGTCGGGGGAAATCGTAACCACCACCCCCCAGATACAGGGAGCGTGCCACCGGGAACGGGATAGGGGTAATTACTCGCAATTATTAATTACACGATACACGTGCTGTCCGCGTGGAAACGGGACGAGGAGGAGGAAGAAGTAGCGTCCCACGGGACAGACGGAGTTAATAATGCTTCTGAGGTCGTTCTGCCCTGACGCCCCGGAACAATCAATGATCGTCGATCCGCGGAATCGCGAAGACTGCCTTTTTTTTTTTTATTTCTTCTCCTCCCTCCGCTGCTCGGTTCTCCCTGGCGGATGCTAGCATTGCGAGGAATAAATTAATATTGCCACCTCGACGGGTGCCACTGAAGGCCTGATCACCGATCGAGCGATTGCCTCTCGTTTGTCCGCTCCACAAAAGTGAAACCCTCTTTTCCTTCGATCCCTCCACTCACCCCCTCATTCCGCCACCCTTTCGCGACTGCTTCCATTATTCGTATCGCATTCAGAATTGAATCTGTTTTACGCGTAGAATCGCTTAAATAACTCGATCTCTCGCTGTAACTTTCTAACAGATAAATCTTGTTAATATTCGTAAAATATCGTTAACGACGTTCTCGATACAAACCCGTCTCTATCTAACCCCCTCGACACGGTATTTAAATACTGACGCGCGTATGTTCTCTCGTTTTTGTTTCAGAGCGGGAGCACCGTGCACCGATGCACCGCGCGAAGCTGCCCCAGCCCAGAACCAGTTATGAACATATGATTAAGCTCGTTTTAATAAGTTTTTATGTAGATCTTACGCGTAAGGATGTATAATAATGAAATAAAAGAAACCAGTAAGTGTTGAATAAACGAGATACGTTGAGACACAGGGTAGGCCGGCAATTACTTCGTCCTGTTCGCCGATATCTTTTTGTCGCTCGTTCGACTCCACCCCTTTCTTTATCTCACGTTGTACCCTCCCTATTCTTTCTGCGGATATTTTCCTACGAAAAATAGAACACACCTGGACGATTATTTAAAAAGTAACAGAAAAGAGAAAAATGTATTTGTGCCCCCTGTTCTCCCATTCGACGTTTTCGCGACATTCCGGTTTCACCATTTTCGAGGCGTTTCCCTGCAGAAGACAAACACGAGGAAAGCAGACACAAATATAGACAGAGCCCATAGGCGTAAACACAGTCGACGGGGGAGAGAGAACGAGGAACAGAGAAGGAGCCGGTCTTCGCCATCGAGTCGTAACCCTGGCGACGAGACACCCTGGCTATCGTCTCGGCTCTCTCGTTCTCTCATTCTCTCTCTCTCTCTCTCTCTCTCTCTCTCTCCGAGAGTTCCACTCTCCTACGGGGATGAGCAAACTCTCCCCGCGGTGTAACCCACCCTCGACGGATAGCAAGTTGCAAGGACGAGGGTTGCCGGAGAGGTCTCGCCTGATTGGCGGCCGTGGACTATCGACCAACCCGCGACCGGCCCTTTGTTTTAGCCACCACCCTTCGTTATATCGAAGGTACCTAACCCGAAGCCCAGGAAGATGAGCACGCTCTCGAGAGGAGATTTCTTTCCTGGCTGCGCTTAGAGAAAATCGAGCCGGCTCGTCAGGAACCCCCGGGGGTTGGGAGGTGAATTGACCTCCCTTATCCGATATAGAAATCCTTTCAATTCTAAAAAAAAAAAAAAAAAAAAAAAAAAAAAAATCCAGTAGAGTAAATCGTTTATTTGATCATAGAAACGATCATTCTGCGAAGAAGTAAATCGATATTTGGATGCCTTGAGAAATTCCATTAGAGGGTGGTAAGTAGCGTGCTAACTTCGTCGAGAATAAGGGTTAAAAGGAATCGAAAGAGGGGCACATGGTGTCTTAAAAAGACTCCAAAGAAAACGTGCAAACAGGTTTAGAGGGAAAAAGTTCCACGGAGAAAAACACGTATCAATGTGCACTACCCCACGTTAAGGGTGACAATAAATGAAAGTCGGGGAAACCACCCCTGTGGCGAAGTGGAGAGGATCCTCTCGTGAAGCGACATTAAGAAATGATTAAAGAATCATTAGGAGCGCGTAGTTAGAGCAACGAAATCTTCATTCTTCCCTCCATCTCCTCTCCAATTACCGAGGCGTCGATGCGCTCTCCATCCCCCCCCCCTCCTCGCGCTGACCAGCATTCCCCCGGAGTCCCCATTTTTTTAATTAATAGAGCGTGCTACAACGAGCCAGGGGATGCCTACCGGGTATACCGTTCCGCGCGTACACTCACACGTATACACATTCGTATACGAAGTCGTGGTTATCAACGTGGATGGTGTGTTTGTGTTGCCAACACACGAGGAACACACCAACTCGTCTCTGTTGATGCACACGCGCGAAGAGAGGGCCGCGATTCGAGCCCGAAGAAAGGATAGAAGCCGAAGAGAGGAAAAGGAACGAGCTGCTGCCAGGCAGGAAGAAGCGGGAGGGGGTGGGCGAAGGGTTTTAATGAGGATGAGCGAGATAAACCCACCTCCGGCTCCGTTTCGCTTCATCCACCCACCCCCTCTAGTTTTTTCCGCGAACCTTTCCTTTTGCACCCTTGTTTCTCATCCGCCACCGATCCCTTCTCCTTTTCCCACGGAGTTTCTCTTCTTCCACCGATGCACCAGCCAGTTCTGCCCTCCTCATTCTTCGCCGCGACGGTTTCCTCTTCTCCCTCTGGATTTTCTCTTTATCGTAGGCCCACCCACCCCCGTCGAATCTCTCCCTCGCGCGTTCCTCCAGTTTCCCTTGTCTTTCTCCCGAAGGGTTTCTTCTTCGTTTCTTCCTCCCGTATCTATCTTCTTCTTCGAATTCCTCGAGCTACCACCCTTCAACCCTCCCTCCTCGACTTCCGTGTACGAAGTCGAGCGCGCGCGCGCGCCCTGCCAAAATACAAAGGAGGAAGTAATTTCTTTTCCCGGAGATTTTTCAGTCCGTCGTGGGTAGAGGTGGGGTAAGAAGGATGTTTTATTTCGACCCCTGGAGTTTCTGCCGAATTTCTCGACCGAAGGGAGGAACGACGGTGGTTCCTTCGGGGGGTGGTTTCATCCCCTTTCCACGTCTTGTTCGATTTCCAGCATCGTATCGCACGATTTCGATGATATTCCGTTTGAAAACCGTGGAGACTTTGTTGAACATTGTCTTGAAATTTTGCTGTCGCTGGATTTCTGTACTTGTACAGGGGTTGGTAAAAATCTTGCAATTTGTTGGGAATTGAATTGGAAAACGAAAAGTCCCGAGCGATTATCTTTAATCAGGGGGATTGATGATGCAGCACGGGCAACGTTCCCGATGCATTCTGCTCGGTATAATTAGCGATCAACGATTTAATAAGCCGGCCAGCGAGAATATATCAGCCCCGCGGATTAATTAATTTCGCCCGTGGTCTGCCTCGATTTCGCCACCGGGTAGAGCCCTACTTACAGTTGCCCGGTTGATTTGTACGGGCGCGTATTTAAATCGAAATATCACGTATCTCCCATTCCAGCGGTATTAATATATCCATTGATCCTTATACGTATTTCCAGCCATTGTTACCCCAGTAGACAAAAGGCGATATCGTATTATTTGTCCCGATGTCGTCGCGACATTTTTGTCAGAGTTATGTCCCGACTGACAAACGGTACCAAGGAACATCCGTATAAAATCTTGACGTCGCTGTCGATGTTCTTTGGGCCTAATTCTTTTACTTTTTTGTTTTTCCTAAAAAAATTCACCGCTGTGTTGAATTCATCGAGTCGACGAGAGTAAAGGGGTAAATATGTCGATAATAAGTAATCAACGACGCGAAAGACCAACCAGTTATACTTCCTGCAAGAACGATTCGGATTACAATCAATAATTTACGAAGCATTCTTCGCCAGCAGAAAAACAAGACGAGCGCATCCTCGACCCGCGTGGTACTTTAATTAACGCGCGCGTGTGGCCAGAACCGCGGCGTACCGTCGTCATCCTCGTCACGGTTTACACGGCGATGGCGTCGAAACGATCGTATAATTGTCAGATTGCAAAAGGATCGAGCCGATCTCCGTGTCACGTCCACGCCGCGTGTCTAATGAAATGAATCGAGCGTGTGGCATTACACACCGTCCGTCGAAATCACTTTCTATCACCGTCGCCTGACAACCAGACCTAACCCAGACTCTGTATCCTCCTTCTGCGACTTTTTCCAGACGGAACACACGACCCGCCACGAGATATCCGCCGGTGGATTTTAATCATTCGCGGAGAGAAAAAACGTACGATGAGGACGTGTTCTTGTCGGGTCGATGGTTACTTAATCATTGGTTGAATTCATTTGGTAGAAAAGCGTAATACACCTCGGATACGACAAAAATCGGAGCATATTATAGCGATTCATGTGATCAATGGAGACTATAGAAATATATCTAGATCAACCCTTGCAATTAAATGTTTATTATTTTCTGTCTATGGAACATTGATTCCTAAGAATATTGTTATTATGTAATGGTTAGAAAGGAGTTCACGCATTTATAGGGTATAAAAAATATTTATTCATTTTCATTACAGTATACTGTTTTGATATGTTATAAGAATAGGGGTGACCCGCCCAAAACCGAGTACCTACCTACCTGAGTGGACCCATAACCAACCCCCTAGTTTTAGAACGGTTTTAAATTTCCCCACGCATCGTCGCAGTCATGTGCAATCAGTTCATCGGCAAAGGTCGATCGCGACGGATGTGTGTTTACTAGGATTGTGATGGTTCTGTGTCTTTGTCTGTTGTAAATCTAACTTTCGGTAATTTTAACGCTTCACAACTACTGACAGTGTTTTCGTGAGTACTTTCTTAGTAAAAATTACGCTATCTGTCGTGTATTAAAGTGTAAATAAACTGTGATAAAGTGTGTGTATCGAGTATGGTGCACGGGGTAAAATCGTACATGCAAACTATATTTAATTTCGCTTTGTTTTCCTTTTCCTAAAAAGTTAGATATAAGCCATCCGTTTGGTGATGAGATTCCTGTCTTGTTTCATCCCGATTTTATCCCAGTCTCCCCTACTATGAAACTACTGCCGAACATTCTCGTAATTTCTGAGAAGTAACTGAAGAAAGAGAGTTTCGAAAAATTCCGGTAGGAAACTTATCGTTCTAGTCTTAATTAGCATGGATGAAATCGAAACCTCGAAGGGAGGAGGATATCCGGTATCATGAACCAGATAGATATATATTTACGAGGTATGGTCGCGCAGGTATTGTTGCGAAAATAAAAAGATGGAACGTCTGGTGGATAAAAGAACGGGAGGAACACCTCAGTGCGACAGGGGCCGCGTCAATCAGCCCTCTCCCCCTTGCCAAATTACTGTCAAACGCAATTAGAATTGACGTGGCGGTAGGCCGGGGCTAAATCAGAACCGCTAGGCGGACCCTCGATAACGATTTCGAACCCCCGGGCATATCCTCAGTCGCAATTTTCTCTCCCGACGCTAATTAATACGCTTCTCTTCGCGCACGTCTCTCCGACCGCTTCGCTCTGCTTTCAACCCTCTCTCTCTCTCTCTCTCCGCGTACCTTCATCAGCCTTCTCGTGGATGATAGACCATCGAAATAATATAAATTATTACACGATACCAGAGTGAGTTTTCCCTAAAATCTCGAATTCCTGAGATCTTACTGTGACGTCCGATAAAATTGACAGACTGGAATAATAAGCCTTCCTTACTTTTTAGACCATCACTATACAGATTTAACAATACTGACCCAATAAACAGAATTTGTACGTATTAGTATAATAAATTGTTTGCAGAGGAGATAGATAATTATCCGAGGGACGAATGAGTATCCCTGCAATATTTAGTTTCATTTAAAAAAATCGTAACCAGGCTCTCGCTGCAGAGTTATCCGGAGAGAAATAGAGAAACCCAGTCTGGCGGTGCTGGAAGAATACTCCGAATGTCGAGTGT